TTCAAACTCGGTTGATTGACCATATCAGATACAGAAACCATTTCGCAGACGTTCTCCAACGACAGTTTGGACATCAGTATTAATAAGCATCGTTTCTTCAAGTAATCCACTTGATATTTATCAGCCACTAACATCAGCTTCAACAATTTCTCATAATCAGTGTTGGTGATCGTGTCAGTGTACAGAAACTCCAAAAATGATTGCATAGTATCACTTTCGACATCAGGAATATCAACTACTCCAGTCAGAGTTTCCAGCATATCTTGATCGAACATGGCGGTGAACACGGGAGATCGGGCTGACAGCAAGCATTTGTGAGCCGGTATGATTTTGTCATGCGTCTTCAATTGAACGTCGCTATGCTTGTCATTCAATAGCATTTCTTTGAGATCTTCTTGCAGAGGTAAAGGAGAAACCATTAAACATGGAAAAGAATCATCCTGCGTCCAATTCTTAGCACTTGAATCCGAATTTCTACCGGAAATTATAATGGTACATATCAGAGTGAACGAATACGGTAAGTGAAAACGTGATTTGTCCACAAGCTGACTTTTTTCAATCCAAGTCTCAAATTTTTGGTTTTCGACGACTTTTTTTGGAAATTCGCAATCCGTTTTACGATTTTCCTCACTTAATACTGCGATTTTCAGTTTATAAGGTTGTAATAAGTTCACTTTTTCAATTTTTATGTTGATTCTTTCATCGGAAGCATGCATAATAATATCTATATGAATGCATTCATGAAATGGAACTTTTATTTTCTTCGCCCAATTTTCAGGACCAGGAATATTTATCTCCCACTGTGTATGGCTTACAGCCGGAATTTCCATCGTCCTTGCTTGTTTTTTGTAGCTTTCATCAGTTATGTGGCAGCGGACAATTAATGTCGGATAAAAGGATCCAGTAAATTTCCTATACTGTTCCAAGGAATTTCTATCTAGAAAACAGTCAATTTTACGGTTAGATCTTTTTGAAAAAGTGATATTTTCCTTTACGACTGATTTGAAAATCCTCCCATCAATATCAATCATTTCTAATTTGTATGTAACTGATATATTTTCAGATTTGCTGTCGTCCATTTCCCTGCCTAGACAACACATAAAAGAACTTGGAAGTGATTGATCTCTGTACAGTCTTAAATACCATTTAGTTCCCTTCAATGTTTCAGCCTCAACTACGGGACTCGTTTTCTGGTAATCACCCATTGTATTTATTAATTCATAGAGGTTACAGATTTCCCAAGTGAACGCAAACACTCCTTCAGTTTTGTTGGACATGATAAAAACCTTAATACTTTGAAAATTTACAGTGTTTGAAGCCTGAAATAAATATTTTTTATTCCATAAACGACGACTTATATAATTTTTACCCCATACTAGCATTTCATGAACTGATTACTTCTTCTCTTTCAGATGATGTAGTTGCTATGACATTGCAAGTGATAAGATATCAGCATTTTGAGATTTTTTTTATAGTGACTTCCTTCGAATTGGGCGTTGAATAGACAAATTTTAAATACTAAATAATTTATTACGAAACATGGAAGGTTCAATTATTTTTCAAGGGAATTCAAGACACAACAATCATCAATTTATATTTTGGAAAAACAATGCAATTTATTATCTTTCTCTAAAAAATGAATGTTATCTCAATACTGACGAGAGATAAGAATTGGTTTCGTTCGTTTTCATAAATCGGTTATAATTGAATAAGTAAACCTTTTTTTTAAAAAAATTGAAAATTTATAATTTAAGGTATGATAGTGACAACAGTTTTGCTTTTTTGCTTTTTTTATATTTATTTTTAAATTTCTTCATTTAAAAAAAAATACGGCAAATATTACCATGATAAAGCCAAACCATGTTTTTCTACAAATTGCAACTTGGTCAATTGATTGCATGCAAAACATTTTAACTACAAATATGTAATACACTGTAGGCAATCGATTTTATAATATAGCTCCGACAGCTTAAACTTTATTTTTTACCTTTTGATAATTTTAGCTATTTTTATTTTTAAAGAAATACGGTCAACTATCAAATAAAACCATGTTTTTCAACAAATCTCAACTTAATTCGTTGCATATAAAACATTTTGGCTACAAACATATAATGCACTGGTAAGAAATTCATTTTATAATGTAGCGACAACTAAATCTTTATTCATTTTTACATTTTTGTTGATATATTTATATCTTTTGCTTTTTTAAGAATAGGGCGAATATATTACATGAAACCATATTTCTCAAGTAATCGCAACTAGATCAATTTGTTGTACATTAAGAATTCAACTGCGAACATATTATACACTATTAACAATTAATTTTATAATTACTATTAACATGCAATTTTTTAATTCACTGTTAACAATGAATTTTATAATACACTCAAAATTCCATACGTTTATTAAACTGTATGGTCAATAAATCTTCACAAAAGCACTTAAGTATGCTGTTTTCATTGACCAATAAAACGCTTTTATTGAAAACTCGTCTTTTACACAGAAAAAAAGTTCCTAATCCATAAAACAGATCATCAGACTAGTTCTAATTTATGATTCAAATAACTAGCCTCTAACTAAAAATGGAGAAAAAAAATAGCAGTTTTTGAAAAATAATGTTCTTAAGAGGCATTTTTTTGTGTGGCTAATGATTTAAATAAGATGGCCTCTGATGAAAACATTTTAACTCAGAAATTTATAAATATTTTTAAAGAGCCAGATATCATCAAGAATATTAAAATAAAATAGAAAAATTAAATTTGCTTCCGATATTATCAGAAAGAATGGATTAAAAGAAGCCCTTTATCAATCGAAAAAGAAGAAGGCCAAAACCGCTGTGGCTCGATTCTGTGGTATCAGATTTTAAAGTGATTGGAAGAAAAGATTGACAGTCCAGGTTAAACCGAAGGCTGCCTTAGTGAAATATTCAGAGGAAGTCCTTGCCCCACCCTGGGAAGTCATGTCAAATATGATAGTAATGTGTGCTATATTATAGCGTCATCGATATTATGATAAAAACGATTCAATTGCTGATTTTAAAAATAAAATATACTTGTTATGTCAACGGAAAACCTTCGAAATAAATAAAATTCTAGCAATGATATAAATTTATAAAAAATGAGTTACTCACTTTCACATAAAGTGGTTATGGTTTTAATCGACAATCATTTTCAATAAAATATCATTAGCCAATTCCATATTCTCTTTCATCCACTTTGACCAAACAGAGGACGAAAGAATTTCTCTTTTGTTTGCTCTTATAAAATCGAATGCAGACAGTTTTAGTACTGGTTGATTTACCCTTTCAGCAACAGAAATTACATGGCAAATGTTTCCCACGCTCAATTTTGCAGTCAGTATTTGTGAGCATCGTTCTTTCAGGTTGTCAACTTGATATTTATCAGCCACTAACATCAGTTTCAAAACTTCCTCGCAATCGGCATCGGTTATCGTGTCAGTATACAGAAACTCTAAAAATGATTGGAGAGTATAACTTTCCACATCTAGAGTATCAACTACGCCAGTCTGAGTTTCCAACATATCTTGATTGAACATGGTGGCGAACACGGGAGATCGGGCTGACAACAAGCATTTGTGAGCAGCTATGATTTTGTCACGTGTCTTCAATTTTACGTCACTATGCTTGTCATTCAATAACATTTTCTTAAGATCTTTTTGCAGAGTTAAAGGAGAAGCCTTTAAACTTGGAGAGGAATCCTCCAGCTTCCCATTCTCTGCGATTGAATCAGAATTTCCATCAGAAGTAGTAATGAAACATACCAGAGTGAACGAATACGGTAAGTGGAAGCATGATTTGTCCACAAGTTGACTTTTTTCAATCCAAGTCTCAAATTTCTGGTTTTCGACGGCTTTTTTTGACAATTCGCAATCTATTTTACGATTTTCAGCACTCAATATTGATATATTCATTTTATAAGGTTGTAACGAATCCACTTTTTCAATTTTCATGTTAATTCTTTCATAGGAATCTTGCATTATAATATCTATATGAGTACATTCGTGAAATGGAACTTTTACTTTCTTCATCCAATTTTCAGGACCAGGAATATCTATTTTCCACTGTGCATGGATCACAGTCGGAATTCCCACCGTTATTACTTGTTTTTTGTAGCTTGCGTCAAATATGTGGCAGCGGAGAGTTCCTGTCGAAAACGTAAGTTTTTCCGGATATTTGCGTATTAAGAGTTTCACGGTATTAGAATCTAGAAAACTGTCAACTTCGCTGCTAGATTTTTTTGAAAAAGTGATATTTTCCTTCATGACTGATTTAAAAACCTTCCCATCCATATCAATCAGCTCTAATTTATATGTTACTGATATATTTTCAGATTTGCTGTCGTGATTTTCCCTGCATAGACAACACGTAAAACCACCTGGAAGTGATGATTGATTTCGGTACATTCTTAAATACCATTTTGTACCATTCAATTGCTTAGCCACAACTATGGGACTTGTTTTCTCGTATTCAACCGCTCGATTAATGAATTTCCAGATGAAGCCAATTTTCCAGTCGAACTTGAATACTTTTCCAGTTTCGTTCGACATGATTCAAACTTAATATGAAAATTAGCCGTTCTCGTCTGTGATAAATATTTTTTTATTCTATCCATAAAAACCTAAAACACCATTGGTCTTATCGCAAATTTGCCATTCGTGAACTATTATTTCTTCTTATCTGTTGACGTAGTTGCTCATATCATGTAATACATGCAAATGATAAGATATCTACGCTCTCAGATTTGCTTTTCATAATTTTTTTTAACTGATATCTGGTTTATACAATAACTAAACTCGGTGGAAAAGTTTCATTTTAAGATCCTTCATAATGATGTCACACTTGAAGGGGAGAGATGGGGTTTTTAAAATTGTCGCAGTTTATGAAAGGGGCACAGCGAACACATATTTTTGGGAGGGAGAAATTATCACTTTGCTCACTAAAGCTCCTAATTTGACCGATCGATGTATATGCATGCATTTAATTTTCTTCGATTAAACGTTATTTTGTTGCTAACATTTTGACTTACTATATTCTACTAATTTATTTCTTGTCTAACGATTTCATGCATAATTATTCCAGTGAATAAGCCTTGATTGTTCAGTAAATCAGGCACTAAACTGTTGTGAAGAACTAGGGTTCGATCCTCAGGCCCATCCGATTGATAGGTATCAGCTTGCCCAGGAAGTAAAGGCGGCTTGCGCTCAATGCTAACCTTATCGCCACAATCAGGCCTTCTGTCACGAAATTGAGGACTCTTAATTCTATGAGCCCCTTGACTACACTGAGCTCTTGCTTTCCTTTTTATCTAATCAATAACCATTTGATAAGTAAAAATAAAAAAGAGAAATAAATTAATTCACAGCTAAGATAAAGACGCAATTTTTCATTATCCCACGAATCAAATGATTTTGTCAATAGGTAAATCTCGTCAAATACCGAATAGACAGATTGTCAAATGAGCACGGGAAGCAAATAAAGATACCAGTTTATATAAATAATAACATTGAACCTACTATTACGTACGTAGTTATTTTTATCTTCCCAATATATTTTATTATTTAAATTTGTTTTTTAATAAAAGATGAAAACATACTGGTTAACCTTTTAAGTTATACAAAAAATAATCAGATGCATGTAAAACATCAATAACATATTACTCATTTATGTGCATGAGGGTACGTAATTCCCTTGCTAATTGTCGGTGAAATCTGGACAAGACTCAAAATGCATGTTTATGAAAATAAACTCGGTACAAAATGCGTTTCTACGAAAGAGGACACAGCTAGAGATTTTTTCCATTTTCCTAAACATGCATTTTGAGTTGCGTTCAGTTTTGTAAACACGCATTTCGAGTTGAGTTCATTTTCGTAAACATGCTTTTCGAGTTATGTCTATTTTCGTAAACACGCATTTAAGCTTTTTCTATTTTCGTAAACACGCATTTTAAGATTTGTCCATTATCGTAAACTCGCATTTCAAGCTGTATTCAGATTTACTAACTCATTCGTGACTTAATAGTTTTCGTTAAACTGAATGAAATAATGCAAAAAAATAAATCCTTAATTTTGGTGAAAAATAAATCAAAGCATAATTACCGCATCAATAACATTTTTATATCTGAAATGCTCTTTAATCATTTCTCCAGTATTGTAAAAAATAACAGAATGCTTCATTTAATAATTGTGTCATGACAGTATGAAGCAAGGTTAGAAATAATCTTCTGAAAAATTAGTGAGAGTGGGGCAATAACTTTTATCTTAAATATTAAATGATAATCAAAACTATGATACTTCCCTCCAGTTTAACATTGTTTACGGAGTATGTCAATCACGGAAAAATTTTATGTATTTAATAATTAAGATAAGTTTCTCCAATATATAAATAAATTGGAACTTTTTTTCCTTAACTTCATGCTGCATTCGTCTATAAAACAAACCAATCTGTATCCACCTATTCTCTGCTGCACCTTTTTAATTTTTCATTTTCATAAAAGAAATGCGAAGAGTTTTTTGAAGATAAGCCTATTGATATGACTCAATTTCTGATGATACTGACACATTTTATTGGAGCTCCATGCGATTGACAGACGAGCTTTTCAACTGTAAGGAGGGAATTAGATTTGAAGAAGTTTAAGAGATAAGAAATAGATACCTAGAACAATACTTATACATTCTGTTTTTAGTTCCCAAAAGAAAAAGCAAATTAAGTAATTAAGTAATTAAAAAAAGCAAATTAAGTTGTACCTTTTTTGTGTTTTCGCAATAAAAAGAGAAAAAAAATACATTTTCGTAAATGTGCCGAATGGCCTAGCAGATTTTGCTGAATAGTGAAAATCTTTGGGAGATCACAGTTCTTCCATCCCAGCGCCTTTGGTGTGTAATGAAGTGGTTTGATTACTTCGTACTTAAGCTGTACAATTGGCTTTTTTCTCTCCATATTTTATAATCGTTGTTAAAAACTAAATCCAGTTTTGGGTTTAGGTCTATCAATTTTCAACTCCGTAGCCTTGTAATTTTGAGGCCAATTCAAAAGACAAGAGAACTCTTGGATCAAATATTGGGAGAAACTAGAATTCGTGGAGGACTCTCTGATGGAACTAACCAGTATAGTTAGCCTGATGGCAAGGGGACTCTAATCCATGATCCGTTTAACACTGAGGATATTCTACATCAGCAATGTGGTCGATACGAGCCGGGAGCGGAATTCGTATCAACCAGCCATCGCTAGGATTCGAACCCGGGCCATCTTATTGAGAGGCGAGAGTTCTAACCCTTTAACCACCACGGCTAGCACAACGGACCATTGGTGATGATTAGGGAGATGATCCGAATGGATCCATGAGGATGATCCGAAGACATGCCATCACAATTTTGATCTTTAGCATAGATGATGACTTCCCCGCTTTGGTAGCCCAATGACCTGTACGCGAAGTCGAGCACTTTATGATAGAACAGTTTAATGAAGCTGGATACCGCACACCCTCGGTCCTTTTTCAAGTTGATCAAAATGATTACCCACCCGCAGATTGTGATGCTTGACTTCGCCGTCCTACTGGGAAGGAGAAGGGGAGATGCCAAAAAGTGTGACATACACATTTTGATTTCTGCAGATTAAATATTTTTATCCAATCCTATTATATACTTGTTTCTTCTTTTTTATTGGAAAAATTGCACACCCATCCATTACTGTTGTTTTGTTTAGAAAGTAGATTAAATACACATTTCAAATGCTTAAAAACAAAATTTAAAAAATGATCTATAACACGAATTTTGTTTTTAAACTGCTGGTACATTTTAATGTAGCGGGACTTGTCATAAGGGGCATTGGGTGAGGTGAAACTTGAATGTTTGTGACTAAGGTTAGGACAAGATCAAAAATATTGAATAGAAGTGCTTGTTATTGAAAAGTAATAAAAAAGGATAACTGTTTAATTTAAAGCAACATTTATTATTTAAATCAAATTTTTTTTTAAAAAATGTGTTAAAAAAGAACGTTTAGTTTAAATCTGTCTATTTCCGATAAATTATTAATATCAATTTTTTTAAGTCCCTCACTAAATCCCAGAAATAATTGAAGAGTATTTTCACTTCCTATAGGAACAGTATTTGTGTTGAAACGCGTAAATTGCAGGAATTTTGGTGAATTTTAGCAAAACTAACTTTAGTAGTAGAGTTTGAGATTGCGCAAAAAATGACCAGTTTAATAACTTCACATAGTAAACGGTTGTTACATTTGTTTAAGATTGGTTTATAGTTTCTTTCTCTATGTAGGGGAGAGTCGGGTAGCCCCGCTCACTTAAGGAGTATTGCTTATATTTCTGAATAATATTGAGTAATAATCAATATTTTTGTATGTTTCTATTGTTTTATCATCTAATTAAATAATGCAGAAGGAATAAATCAAAAAATAATAGTTTAACTTAAAAAAAATAGAAGTTAAAAAAAAACATGTTTTTCAGCTCTTCTCAAAATGTGTCGGGTAGCCCAGCCCAGTTACAAAAATTATGTTTTTTGACTGTTTTTTCAGGTGTAAAGGAAAATGACTAATGTATTGACAATAGGTAAACCTCGTTTATCATTTTTATCACAAAATTATTTTATTTATTACATATTTATATNAATAATAATCTTTGCAACCGTACTTTTATCGACGAAATAAAATTGGTTGTTGATACCCGACATTCATGTGAGCGGGGCTACCCGAAATCCCAATTTTTTTGTAAATTTGTAATTACTCGAACAATTTTTCACATATAGACTTCTTTCTTTGAATAAATTAAACTTAAGACTACATACTTTAATGCTGTATGTATAGAAAAAAAATTTTTTTAGTATTAAAATGAAGTTTAGGGGAAACATTCAACCAATTTTTCTTAATTTCATGACTACTGTATTCAACATATTTTCAAAACTATTGTTTACCATGTTAACAGCTGCATAAATAGTTGAAACTTTGAAAATAATCTTCTTTTAATATAACAATTAATGTCCGATGGCCCATTGACTTGAAAAAATATTCTTTACATATGAAATTGACAGTGGGCGGGGGTACTCGCTGGGCGGGGCTACCCGACTCTCCCCTACTAACATTTGAAAAATTAAGCCTACAGAAAACATGCATATATAAATGCATGAATGCCCAGACAAGCTAAACTAAATCAGTAGCTTAATTATTACGCCACAAAACTGATCCAGAGTCCTAAAATGGAAGCGTAGAGATGGGTCCAAATCCCATTGCAAACTTAAACTATTCAATTATTTATGTTTATTTATTGTTATACAAACATACAGACTTCTTCGCTCATTAAACGGTTCGGAGACCACTTTACTAATCCTTCGAAATACCAGAGTGTGTGTATTATCGGCGCTCGATATACTGTTTTTACATAAAGTGCACGAATATAGTAAGTGTACAGTGTATTAGTAGTATAAGTGTTCGCAATCTAACACAAAGTGCAACCCTGGATGCAGCTATTTATGTATATTTATTAATTGTTACCAGGATAGCTTACTCATTACAAAGGCTCGGCTTATGCCCTTGTCAAGTCAAAATAGACCTAGATAGAGAAGGACATCACAAACGACATTTACTGGGACACGAATCCACTATCTCCACGTTACATTAGATGCATGTTTGTAATGTCTTTCTCTAATTGGAGCGATCTATTCTTTAACTTGACTGCCCCACAGTGGACTGATCGTAAAGACACGGTTCCCAGCAGATCACCAAACTCAAGCATCACTGGTTGCGGTCAGTGTGCGGGTGGGTGACCACTTGGATCAGTCTGCGTAGGGACCGAGGGTGTGTGGTATTGGTCCTCGTTAAACTGTGCTACCGTGAAGTGCTCGACTTCGCGCGCAGGTCGTCGGGCTACCGAAGCGGGGGTGCCACCCCCTCCGCAGAGGATCAAAGTTGTGATGGCATGTCTTCGGATCATCCTCAGGGATGCTTCCCAGACCGTCGCCAATAGCCCATTGTGCAGCTCTAGTGCGACGTAAATTAATAACAACAATCTTTAACTTGACTAGGGTTTATAATGTATGTGAAACAATACACAAATACAAATAAATACTTGGAATACTAATATTTATTTTAATTTTATTTATCTATTCTTTTATTTTATTCATCTATTTTTCCATTATATATACCTATTACCTTATTTTAATTATCTATTTTTTTATTTTTATTCTTTTACAGCAGGCTGGTTCTTCCACCAAACGCTGTTTGAGTAGAGGAAGTGGGTTCGAATCAAAGCT